TGTTTTAAGCATCACAGGCATCCACACGCAGTCAAATCATTGTAGGGGTTAGACAGTGTGTGCGGTTCTGTAACTTATCCCCTCCGCTGACTGAAGGATCCTCAGAAAAGCAGGCTGGGTCTCGCCCTTCAGACCAAATAGGTGTTCATATCGATGGAAATGTAGCCGCAGTATTGGCTGAACCACAGCCTGAGGCGCAGGCTCCCAGCGCGTCTTGCTCTGTCGGGTGTGGTGACCTTCATGCCCAGCGCAGTGGGTCTCAGCCTTCACATCTCCGTGATGGTTGTGCAAGCAGTAGCTTATTCTGCCCTTCAGCCCTGGCCGGGATCACCTGGTGTCATACAGCCTTGGTCTTGTTCCCAAAAAGGCCTCTCAGGCGAGCACAGCAGCAGTCTAGTGTACTGTACAACCAGCATCTCTTGACATGAGAGCAGGCGCCTCCTTCCTCTGCTTCCAGGACTGAAGAACAAAATAAAAATATCCCGCTCATGCTGAGCAATTAAACCATTACAAAATGATGAAGGTTTGCGACCACCGCCTAATCCTAATTTATGTAAAACACTTATTTGCTTGTTTGCTGGCTTCAGTCTCACCCCACTGCCTTAATTCTGATGCCCTATTTAGATTTCTATTTGTAAAACAAAACTTAGGATGATAGTAGTAATAAATCAGTCTTCTCTGAAAAACGTTTTTACATTGTTTTCTTGTAGTACATTTAAAACTATGAGCTAATGCAGTAAGTGTTGAAACACTGTTACAGTGTTTGGACTGCAGACCGTGTTCTACCAGATTCCCTCTGCTCCAGTAAACGGATCTGAATTTTGATTATATATTTTTTGTCAGTGCAATTATGTCTCAGTAACTGCACCAAAGCCCTTTGGCCAAACATTCAGGAACAGTGCAACTCCACCATGATCAGTGCTGTATGTATATTGTTAGGACAGAACTTTTTGCAGTAATACTTAAATTGTTTAAAAATGCTGTCAAACTACTACAACTATTTCACTTGGAGTAAAAAAAAAAAAAGTACTGGACTGCAAAGTAGTGCGTGCTGCTTTTTCAAGAGGATTATTAATGGGGACTATTTTAGTCTTCTGCGATCAGGAATGACAGGCTGAACAGTTTCTTACAGTTAAGAATAGAAAATAATTTCGATCCCTGCAAGAATTCAGTTACTCTACATTAAAGCCACCATGGGGTTACAGTACATTTATACATCCGAAAGTCAGTAAATTATTTTTCTATAAATTAGTCTCTCAAAGCTGACTTTTTTCTTTCTGTTCTTAATGCCAGTTTCCTGACTGCTTTTCCACCACAGAGACTTCATATCTGCACAGCCGACATCTGTAAAAACATTCCTAATGAAAACACTACTAATACAACCCCCTAGAGAAACGAATGAAATGAGATCTAAGTACACAGCCGCCTTCTACAGCTCTGCCTTCAGCAAGAGTGGGACTAGTGCCTCCTACCCAGGACTTGACACAGGTCGCGATCATTTAGGCACGGTAGTAGCAAAATAAATAACTGTGTAAATATGTATTAAATGCTGTAAATACTTCAGAAGCCCTTAGAAGATGCGGTAGAGGACTTCCATCTTTATTTGTGCGCTAAGGTTTAGCTAAAAGTACAGAAGACAGACGCGTTTAAGCTGCAGTGATGGAGAGCCACGTCTTGAAAATGTGAAAGCTCCGTGCCAGACATAACATCGCTTCTTTTCCACAACAGCAATTTCCGAACGTGCATTAGCGTTGAAAGTGTTGGGTAACAGCTAAAATACTACAGCGATAGAGTCATTATAGCTTCGCCCCCCCGAAAAAAAATACTGGAAAGATCAATCATGTAACTATATATTTTAATAATCCAGCTTCAAAGTAAAACAATGCTTTTTTCTTCTTTTTAAAATAATTTAGTGTCAGATTCCCACTGTCTCTACCCCAGTGAAGTCTGATGCTTGAGTAGCTATGAATTTACTTAGGGACAACTTTTCTGATGAGGTTTTTAGTAACTAGCAGGGGAAAAAATGGCCCATTTTCTTGCGTCAGATCTCAAAATCTTAGCTAAGGCTCCATATGAAGGCATACAGAGAGATTACATGTATATTTGCTGCTTTTCCTTTAACTAGGTAATTTTAGGTAACCTCTTGGCAATTATGCGCTGCAATATCAGCCAGTCCCTGCCAGTGTAACAATAATTTAGTGGGTTTATGCTGCAAGCATATTAGCAGAATTACTTGAAGTAATTACATCAGCTTCCCAAATGAAACCTGGCTGCATCAAAACGAAGCTGATGTCTGCAATGATGTCAGCAGGACTTGGGTTTTACTCTCCCCCGCCACTTTCCTTTAATGTGTATAAAATCAGGACTGAAAACTGTAGACACGTGAATTCCAGCAGGAGTTTTACACTGGGTAAGTTAAGATAAACTTGTTACCTCACGTGTTTGTTTCCAATGACATTTCTTTTTGTTATAAGGGAAGTATTTTAATACTTGATAAAAATGATATTTGATCTTTCCACTTAATTGTTACTATCTTCAGCCTGAGGTGACAATACCATCTATGGCTTTAAGATAACAAGAAGCCAACTTTAACCCAAATTAAATATAAGAGAGAATAATACTAAGCTTCCATCTTATATATCTACTACAAATACATATTTTTTCCTAGGCTATTTTGGAATGAAGCATTTCAAACATTGTGCTAGAAAGCAAAATTGAAGTCTAACCTACCAACATTAGCCTAAAAAAATACCTTCTCGTCTAAACAGAAATAAGTAATACTAAGGACAATGCTTGTATAGCAAAACAAAAATACTAAATAATTTAAGAATCAAATAATTTCTTGCTTATCATTCTGTAAGTAGTGGCTTTTAAGTGACATGGTGGGCACAAACAGCTTAAATCAGCATGCTTGTAAATAGTTTTCTTTAAGAAGGAAAAATGACCCACCTCACATTTACTCATCTGAGTAGCTCCTTCTTAAACTTCAAGGGAACATGATTCCTATTATTTTATTACTAGGTTATAAATGTAAACAAGAAAATAACTTTGGGAGTAAACCAATGAGATGGTTCCAAAGCACTAAAACTTTGTATTTTTTTCAGTATTAAACAAAAATGCTATACAAATACATAGTTTAAAAAACAAAACACGTAAAATATCAAGAATATTTAAAACTTTAATTTTATTAAATAACACACTTGAAAAGCCAAAGAATATTTAAAACTTTAATTTTATTTAATAACACACGTGAAAAGCCAAAGAATATCAATTTAATTTGAAAGATCACCAATTTTTCATTACAGGAATTCACATTCCTCAACCATTTGCAGAATTGAGATTCTGTAAGTCTAATGCACCCCCTCGTGTTTGAACAAGAAACTACACTGCCAGCAAATGGACCATTTGAAGAAAAACGGCTTGAACGGGTCTTCCCCGTGAAATACAAGCAGTTGCTTCATTCACTTTATTACAATTGCATATGATCATGGATCAGTGATACGATACACAGTCATAATCTAAAAAAAGATAATGTTACAGATTTATAAACATGTAGTAGCACAGTGGGACTTTTTTTTTTTTAAATATGAGTACAAAGTAAGTTTACAAAGTATCACAAAAGCATTTGTTGTGAAATCTAGCATAAAGCTTTTCTTTTTAAGGGGCTTAGACAAGCAGTCTATTACACAGAAAGTAGGTTAACAGTTAGAGAAGCAGAAACAACACACTGAAGAGGCACACTGAGATGCAACATAAAGTCTGTATTCTGTAACTCACACCGTCCACAAAGGGAAGGCAACGCTTACACAGTTAGGTCTATGGAAGTACACGGATCTTTGCTCATTTCAAAACAAAATGAGTTATAGGACATATGTTTTTTCCTCAAAAATACAAAAATCGAGAAAAAATTTTGTAAACACACAAAGCCCCTTTTCGTATGACTGTAAATATATGGAGTTAGCTAGATCCACACAAATGATTTTAAAATCAGTGGAGCTGAGCGAAGGCTGGAATCCAAAACTGTCCTTATTCAACTGTGATTATGCACAAACTAACATTTCTGGTGGACATCTCTTCAGAAATTTAACAACTTGATACTCTGACTTATTCATATTTTGAAATCTGAATTAGATACAATTTAAATGGTATGGAGAAAACATGCTTTGAAATTCAGCTTAGTAATTGTGAATGGGTTAGACCTTGATTAAGGAAAATATAATTACTTAGAAAAGCTCTTGTTATTTATATGTATGTGTTCAGATTTAAATGAGGTATGTAAATGCACTTAACCAGCACTTCAAACATATTTTCTCATTAGAGAGGAAAGTGCATACATGTGTTTCTGAATTAGGGCTTTATCCCCCTTCACATGCTTGTCCTTACAGGCCTGCATGCAAAACTGCTAGAAACTGCTAGGACACCAAAGAGATTTTCTTCGTGAAGATCAGTATTTCATGCTGTTTTGGTTTGATGGATTTTCTTTTTTTTTTTTTGCCTGACCCAAAATCTCATCACTGGCTCTTATAAATTTTCCAAAACCTATGCTCATGAAGGAATACTAGCTAGAGAACTTAGTTATCTTGACTACGGTTACAGAAGCGAGAGTTGAATACCTTGCAATTTGATAAGAAATAATATTTGTTCAAGTGCAGCACTTTGAGGGAGGATTAAACTAATGCTACTTTTTCTTAGTTCTGTTGAAGACATTTAAAAAAATGCAATAAATTATGACAATATTGAACAAAAAAAAGCTATTGAGGTTGCAAGAAGAGGTAGAAAACATTTCAGAAGAATTCACAAAATAAATAGATATTTACACATACATAAATATGAGTAAAAATATTTAAAAAGCAGCCACCTCCCACCCTGTAAAAACTACAACTGTGCTTACTCTTGTACGTTGCATGTATTTACATTGACTTCAGAAAGGCCAAGAACAGCGTGCAAAGTTAAGCATGTCCTTACATCTTTGCAGAAGATTTTACGACCCTTGCAAGAACTACAGGTTTACAAAATTACTCTATCCCAACTTAGGCTCTGACTTTCTATAGTTACCTATATGTTTTCATTTAGTGCTGTTCCTTTTTTCAATTGCCTCTCTGATTTGCCGATCAAGTTCACTAACAATATGGTCTTCATGGTTATATACTCCTGTTCGCAACAGAGTATCCCTCTCCTTTATTAGACGAGAGAGATAATCATCCATGTTCTCATTTAATTTTCTAGAATGAAGACTGTCCTCTCTCCCCGCAGAACTCTCTCTACCATCTTGCAGCTGCTTTCTTTCTTCTTCTTGTTGCTTTAACCTGATAAAATGGAAAGTATCAAAGGACATGACATGTTAAAAATTACTGATTATTTTCATATGAGCTCCTGAAGTTACTTATCTACAGAGTAGCTAATCATTTTTTTTTTTTAAGAAAATCATTTTTTAAAAAAAATATTACCTATACTAAAGAAAAATACATACCAGTAAAAGAAACATTCATATAGTAAGCAGAATGTTAAAAAATACCTCTTTCTTGTCTTAATGCAGCAGCTCTGCTCAGAATTAAAGGTTTAAAATAAAGCCTGGTATAGTGCTGCGATGACCACAGCATAAAAAAACAGGGTACGGTGCCCTTAGGGATAGATTTTCTATAATGCAGGACTGTTACATTTTATAAATGGGCAATCTTTACCTAAGGGACACTAAAGTGTGTTCCTTTACCATAGTGACAGCCAATTATAATCTTGATTTAACTGGATCTTTGCCTATTTTGACGCAGGGGGATGGAAATCCTGGAGATGCTTTAATACCTGTTAAGCTCATTTTTGATGTCCTCCAGCTCTTGTCGGTCTGTTTTCCCCAGCTCCTTCTCTTCTGCTGCCAAGTAGCGCAGCCTCATGTGCTCCAGCTCTTGCTGCTGCTTTTTAAGGCGAGCCATTGCATTTTCTTGTTCACGCTATGGTAGGAAGGGGTGAAAAGATAACCCAGTTGACTACACACTTATCTGTAAAAATGCAAGTGCTACCGACATGTAAAACTTTAGGGAAGAACTCGAGACAATTCCAAAGTCTCCAGCAGTATTGAAATGCTGGAGTTAAACAGGATGTTTACGTTGTCGATACCTATAGTACTTCAAGATCAATGACTATCACGGTTGTAGCAAACAGTTGTCCAAGCTGGGTCAGCTTCGGCTTTTTCACATATCTTCCCATTACCTAAATGGTAAGAATATGTTGCCAGTTTTTTTACAAACTCTAACTTAGGCCAATAAATAACAATAAATAACTTATACTTTTGAAACTGCCCAAGATGTTGAGATCTATCTGGTTGCCACTGCTTCCTCGTATTTTAAATGGTAATGCTATTTTGAGAAATAAGCATCAAATGCCAAATAGTTGTGTAAAACTTGCATTATTGGTCCTTCATTGCCTAGTGTTGAAGCACTGCTCTCCAATTCACCTCTAGAGGTCCCTTCCAACCTTAAGCATTCTATGGTTCTATACGTTAGGCTTTAAGAACTACTTCCTGAGGCTGACACTCGTATTTAAAAAGGACGTCTTGAAGATCTAAAACTCATGTTTGGCTGCCTTTCATAGTTTTCCAACCCTATATGAAACCTTCAGAATAAGTTACCTAACTCACACAGTCTAAGTTTAGTTTGTTCCAAATTTGTTTTTTAGCAGCTCTAGAGAGACACTACAACAGAACTACAGTTTGA